GAAACCCCGCCTTCCAGCCGCCTATCTGGTTGAATCAAGGATAAGTTGGTTTTTTCGCGAAAGGCAACTTATAATCTTATAAGACATTCTCAATAATAAGTATGCTAAATTTTGACTAATTTTTTATTATGGTCAACAAATCTGGGAAAAGGCTTACTTGGAACGATTTCATAAATGTCCACAGCAGCGTTCGAATGCCTTCTCCTCTGGATAACAACTTGACAAGCCGCATCACACGAAACAGACGAAAGAAGTTGATCGAAATCAAATTTGAGCCTGTAAACAGACACTTCGACTCTTGGTTTACGAACAAAAAAAGGAAAGAAATCTTCAATTTTTCTCACCACCGGGACTGAGTTTGCCGTAGATAATGTCGATGAATGAGCCGACAACGATCAAGAAGTCGAACACGTTCCAGCGATCACCAAAGTAGTTTTTCGGATTCAAAGCTGAAAATATTGAAGATAATGAAGTGTGGCAAATTGTTCAGCTTCTTAGGATGCATTACATAACTTCCACTTACAAAAAGGATAATAATAGGATGTTCAAACATTCCAGTTCTAATTCGGTTGATACACCGCGCTGGGGCTTGCTTTAATCTTACAAGCCAAGGTAATTTTTGGTCCCATAAATTTAATTGAGCTTTTGAAGTCAAACTGGTTTGTGCGCAACTAACCAATAATTTGTATAAAACTAATTTAACCGATATAAACTAACTAATACAAGAAATGCGCACGCCTAATTTCTTCTTGGAAACTGTTCAAGCATTTCGAAGGGACAAAAGATGCTCCTTCCTACCTTGGTGTCGCGAGTTTCGAAAAATACATACACGGGCTACACCCGTTATGGAATTATTACCTTTCAAAAACTATGACTTTTCAAATTTGAAAAAAATCGAAATTCATTGTAAAAGATCTACACATGGTATCCTCTTCCAATTTTGTGCGCAACAAGTTCGCGAAACTTTGGTGCCAATCAAAAGCTTTTTTTCCATCTCAAATTCTTTCCGTCGGCTTTCGAGCACTATCTCGCTCATTTCATATTTTTTCATTGTATTTCAATTACTTTCAAAGATTTTCGAAGCTGCATCCAATTTTTTGAGCCGATTTTTAGCAAATAGGAAAAACATCGGTGTAAC